TATTGTGGGGCGTAACAGAAACCTGCCTCGATCCTGTTGTCAACTGACTTGTGTTATGTAAACACACCTGATCCTAGGATAACACGTGCCTCTATTTATCCCTTTATATTCTCTCTCTCTCTCTCTCACTGGATATCTAGAATACTTATAAACGAATATTGCCTTAGCTGTAACTTAGGTGTGTGTGTGTGTGTGTGTTTATACTCGTGAGACGCCGAGGTAGCAGGCGAAATTATAAATAAACATCGAGTGTACAATAACCTGTTTTACATAAAGTAAGCTGAGATAAGAGGCTTTCACACTGAGCGTAATATTACACCCAACCTTGGTGTGTGTGTGTGTGTGTGTGTGTGAGAGAGAGAGAGAGAGAGAGAGAGAGAGAGAGAGAGAGAGAGAGAGAGAGAGAGAGAGAGAGAGAGAGAGAGAGAGAGAGAGAGAGAGAGAGAGAGAGAGAGAGACCCACAATCCCTAGTGCTCTATGGCTGTACATACATAGACGTGTTTAGGTTATGAGTGACAAACAAATACCAACAGACGCAGACAGATACACGAAGAGACATATAGACAGAACCTTGAGAAAACAGAAAAAAAACAAGCTAAAAGAAAAAGACAGGGAAACACAAAAATAATAACAGTTCAAAAGAAAAGAAAAAAAACCCAGAAATACAAAGGTTGACGGAGACAGAAATACTTATAGGAATTGAAAGAAAAAACCGATTGACAGAAATAGACAGAAACAGAAGCAGAGACAAAGAGAAAAATGAGAGAGAGAGAGAGAGATATGGAGGGAGGGACGGAGAGAATCACCCAGCCGCAAAGAAACGAGAATAGTCGAGAGTTGAGATTGCCATTCACAGAGAGATGCCACAGTAAATATTCCCCCCCCCCTCTCTCTCTCTCCCTCTCTCTCTCTCTCTCTCTCTCTCTCTCTCGTGAACTCATTAGCCCAGGGTCGTGACAGTGATAATTCTTACTGTTACTCAAGAACGAATATTAGATATAGACTGAGAGATGGAAAGAGAGATAGACTGAGAGATTAAAAGAGAGATAGACTGAGGGAGGGAAAGGGAGATAGATAAAAGAGACAGACTAGACTTAATGACAGAAGGAAAGAGAGCGATAAGACAGAGAAAGAGACAGATGGACAAACAGAATTAGGAACAGACAGGCATCAATCAAAAAAACAGACAGACAGACAGAGAATGATATATACCCCTTCCCACCCGATCTGATATATCTCTCACTGTCCAATTATTCTCCACACCCGGAAGAGATCCTCCAATATACGGCAACACTAGGATACTGGGAAGGTGGGGGTAGGGGGTAGGGGAGGGAGGTGTAGGGGGTGGTGGAGGGAGGTGTAGGGGGTGGTATAGGGGGGAAGGGGTTGGAGTGGTAGGGGAGGGGGGTGGGGGGATGGGGGGTCAGATATTGATTTTGACGTGACGGTCCAGTAAGAGATGGAATTACAGAGAGTCGCCCAGGAGTATATAGTAATATTTACCTGCATCTAAATCAAGAATAAAATATATGTTTGAGCTCTATATTGGTTATCATGCTGTTATTATTCTTATCATTATCATTATCTTCATCATTATCATCATCACCATTATCAGTTGAAGGCTCTCCTCTTCTTCCTCCCTTGAAACAGTACCTCATTATCGCGCACACACACACACACACACACACACACACACACACACACACACACACACACACACACACACACACACACACACACACACACACACACACACACACACACTTATAACACAGCATCTCGGCTTCATTCAGTTCAGTTGTTGTTCCACTGTCATATTTTTCTTGTAACTCTCCATTATTGATCCAGAGTGCTAATTTGCATACTGTCTTTATTATTAATTATTATTAGACATAACCACTGAGCGGCTTTTCTTTATGCAAATACTAATAATAAGAGAACCACTCCATCATGTCTGAGAGGGTTGACGACCAATCCTACCAGGGGTTGATCTCTCTCTGGTGGACCACAACTTTTAATTTCCTTAAACTATCTCCGTTTCTGCCTTTCTTTGCCCTTCCTACCTTCCATTTTACCTTTTAATGTCTCTACCATCATCCCCTCTTCCTTATTAATACGGACAATTTAATTAATCTTTTTTTTTTAAGTTTTCTATGATTATCTCCTACTCTGAATACTAACCCTTCAGTGCGCCGCAGGGAGGAAGTGTAACCGACATTTCACTTTATCATCTTTACTTCCTCACCTGTAGAATTAGGTACCCATTCACGGCTATTCCGACCAAAGTGGACTGGCGGTGCTATGGGCTAGAACCAGAAGCCCTTAGGACATAATAAGAGGCGAATGCTGCGTCCTCCCCGCCGCCACGCTCCGCTCTAGACTATAATACACGTTTAATGGTTTTCGGATTAGATCTTAAATGGACGAGCGGAGGTGAGGTACTGCAGTGAACGTATAGTGTGTGTATGTGTGGTCCCTCCTTCCAGTCCCCTCCCTCCCTCACCATTACATCACAGCCCCTCCCTCTACCATGACACCACGACCTCTATCCACCATGACACCACAATCTCCATCCACCACACACACCACATCCCCCTCCACCAGCACACCACACTACGACCGCGCCCCTTCCACCATCCTTGACCCCGACAATTAATTAGCACCTGCAAACATATCCAATTTGTCAAGAAAATATTAAACAAGTCGGAAATTCACGCCAGGTATGACGAAATTCTTCATAAAACTAATTAGCGATACCTGGAAAATGTTCTTTATTGCTCTGGGAAACATATTTAAAAAAGAAAACAAAGTGAACGTACTGTCAGAAGAAATTTGATAATTTTAAGAAGTACTCAAACTATCAAACTATCCAATAGACAAAATTAAAAAACTTCAATGTAATGTTAAGACAATCGTTAATTATACCTGATAAACCTCTCCGAATGACCTGAGTGACAAATTATTTCTTAAAAGCCAAGAACTAAAGCAATGTGTATTTTGAGAACGTCTCCTATAACCAGCTTAAGAAGAAATAACCTCCAGATCAAGACTTTCCCCAAAATACATATAAAAAGTAAATAATCAAACAGTGAAAACGTCTCCAATTATCGGTTAAGAGGGATAATCTTGAGTGGTCCCGTTTACAGTACATCAACGTAAGAAGTAATTAATTAATGTGCATCCAGTTAAACTGTCAGCAAATTAAGGACTTTGAAGGCCTTATCGTGTATCATCGTTAATTCATAAAAGCGGACCAGAAGATTTAGTGGGTAATGTGATAATGATATTATTCTAGTAATAATAAATGGTATTGTGACGTGGCTCAGAGGTAAAAAGTGTTCGCCCTGTCAGTAAATGGCTAGGTTGTTGATTCCCAAAGAGTGGAGACTTGGTTTCCCACTTTAAATGAGAGCATTTTCGGGCGTGCTTGTGTCGGTGGTGGATTGACCCGTGGGTGGACTTGCTGAATACTAACCTAACCTAACCTAACCCACCAGCTGCTAAGTACTAACCTAACCTAACCTGTCCGGCCACCAAATAACATAGTATAAATAAGATTGTCCAAACAAACTTTAAAAAAAAAACACTAATTTTTTACCTTTTCACTGGCAATTCATTGCCGAGACACAAAGATATCCCGACAAGACTTGGTGTGCTGGGAAGTTAAGACAATTTGCATGTCATTAAGGGAAAGTTAGTCAGGGAAAAGAAAACTATACCTGCGTGACCATGCTGAAGTATGTATGTATGTATGTATGTATGTATGTATGTATGTATGTATGTATGTATGTAAATGAAATAAAAGTAATAAGAAGGCGGAAGCACGAAATGAATTCAGAGAGAGTTGAGGTATTAAATTCACAAAGCTTAATTAAATCGCTTAAATTTTAACTCTCTCTCTCTCTCACACACACACACGTAGTCAACCCAAACAGAAAACCGTATCCAATGTTTCTCATGAGTTTGCTGGTGTCTCAAAAACAATGAACATTACACGACCCGCCAATTCCAGCAGCGACCTTGATCAAATTAAAAATGGAGACATAAAAACCAAAACGAGCTATCACACCCGACCAGACATGCATGAGATAACTCTGAGTTGCATGACAGGAGTGAGGGAGTTGAAACCTGCGTGAGACAGCCCTGAGCCCACTGCATTAATTACGTTCAGGCACGATGGGCGAGTGGCATTTATGAGGTGCGGCTGAGATAGAGAGGGGGGAAGAAGTGGTGGTGGTGTGTCCTGGCCTCACACTCGACCCTTGCTGACTTATATAGCCGTATCCTCCTCCTCCTTCTCTTCCTCTTCTTACTCCTCGATAAAAATCTTAAGTTGATGTAATTCTTCAGAGAAAATCTACGTCCTACTTTTCCTCTTATTTTTCCTTGTACTACTACTACTACTACTACTCCCTCTTCCTTTTCTTCTTACTTTACTACTAATATTAATTTCATTCTCCTCTTCCTCCTCCCCTTTCTTCTCCTTCTCCTACAACTCCTCCATCCTCCTCCTCCTCCTCCTCAAAAAACTGACCCTGTAATTCTCTTCAGTTCCACCACATCTTAAACGAATTAAAACGGCCGCATCAAATTTCTAAATGCATTACAATAGTTATCCTCGTATATTCCATTACTACAGACTAAATAAAGATAAATACAGATAATTAAAATATTCCTACGATGACGCAAAACAACTTACGTCAGTTTATAATCACAGCCCAAGTTCTCTTAGACTTTGTGGGGGAGGAATTCTTTTATGGGTTGAATTTATATGATTGGTTCATTGATGGTGAATGCTTATTTGTTATCATAATTTATAAGAAAAGTAAAAAATATTGCTACTTTCGGTTACTAAGAAATGTTATGTTGTATTACTAAGAAGTTTTACGTTATGTTACAAGGTGTTACGTTCTGTTACTAAGTGTACGTTCTGTTACTAAGTGTTACGTAGTGTTACTAGGCGTTACGTTGTGTTACTAAGTATTACGTTGTGTTACAGAGAGTTGGTGTAACGCTACCTGGGACCTGGTGTTGTGCTGGCCGCCCACGCCCGCAGGAGGGAGCACTCGGCTGCCCTGCCCACCCGTCAAGGGGGTCGATCCTTCAAGTGAGTACCTCCCCTTTAATTCACCCATTAAGTCACTAGAAATCCCTTTAAGTCACTACTAATCCCTTGAAGTCACCCCTTAAGTCACTACTAACCCCTTAGGTCACCCCTTAAGTCACTACTAACCCCTTTAAGTAACCCCTTAAGTCACCTCTAATTACTCACTTAAATCAAGCCCCTCAAGTCACCACTAACCCCTTAAATCACCCTTTAAGAAACTACTAACCCCTTAAATCACCCTTTAAGAAACTACTAACCCCTTAAATCACCCTTTAAGGAACCACTAACCCCTAAAATCACCCTTTAAAGCACCACTAACCCCTTAAATCACCACTAACCCCTTAAATCACCCTTTAAAGCACCACTAACCCCTTAAATCACCCTTTCAGGCACCACTAATCCTTTAAATCATCCTTTAAGGCACTACTAACCCCTTAAATCACCCTAAGAATCATTAATAACCCCCTAAAGTCAACCTTGAAAGTCATCCGCCAACTCTTAAGGCGGATAGACAATGAGAACAAGACAAACGGAATATAGACAGCCAAACAGAGAGACATTTGACAAACATACTCAATACATTCTGTGTGTGTGTGTGTGTGTGTGTGTGTGTGTGTGTGTGTGTGTGTGTGTGTGTGTGTGTGTGTGTGTGTGTGTGTGTGTGTGTGTGTGTGTGTGTGTGTGTGTGTGTGTGTGTGTGTGTGTGTGTGTGTGTGTGTGTGTGTGTGTGTGTGTGTGTGTGTGTGTGCGAGCAAGAAACTTACACAACAAACTCAGAAGAAATTCTTAATTAGATGCAGGTTAAAAATAATATTACCTCGAGAACTCCTGGGAGGTGGGGGACGCTAAACATTATTTTAAAATCTGAAAAAAAATAAAATCCTTGATGTCAAAATCTGCAACTCTAAAAAAATAAAAGGTAATGTTAAAATATGTAAATGAAAAACAAAACAAAGGAAGAAAAAATTAACAAAATAAAAATCAATTGACAGAACAGTCACGGACACAATTTTATAACCCACTGCTCGTTAACTTATCGTATTAACGACCGGATTATTAAAGCACCATAGTGTTGATTAGATACAGTAAAGTCTATGTGTGATTTAGACGCCATTTTAACTATATAGCCAATTATATGCATTCTAATACACACAACTTTAACCCTTTGATGACAGTGATTTACGCCTTTGATGACGATAATTTAACCCTTTTGATTTTCATAATTTAACCCTTCGATGACGATGATTTAACCTTCCAGGACTCGAAGGGTTAAGGTGTATAGAATCAACTTACTGTATGTATCTTTGAGAATCAGTTCAGCAAGTTGTCGTGTCTGTACATGGAGGGAAATTTTTCACTTACGAACGTAATAATAATAATAATAATAATAATAATAATAATAATAATATTAATAACAATAACAATAAAACAATAACAATAATAATAATAGTTATTCAGTAAAGTCATCATAAAAGTTTACAATTGGCTTGGCATGTAAGTACAGTATATGTATACAGACCAGGCATACAGTTCAGCGTGTGTACAGACAATGCATGTATACGGCTTGCAGATGACTGTTACAAATTATTAAGTTATATTAGACTATTAATTAACATTTTAAAACAACATTTACACATTTTACTTCATCTTGGTCACGTGAGTACCCATTAAGACATAGTCTAATCTTTCATGTAATAATGGCGTAAAGGAATTCAAAGTTCCGGAAGTTGATCGAATTAATGATATACGCAAGTCACTATCTAGAAAATCACTGGATTACGAAAGTTTCCAGAGTGACTTTATACAGCAAACGTGATCCCGATCTTCAACACGGGATCCAACGGCGACTTACTCAGTTAGCGGAGACGCAAGACTCCCGAGCGTGTACAAAAACAATGGTAACTGATATATAAAACTGACTTGGACATACCTGAAGTGTGATGAGTTGTGGTGTGCTACGGTACACCGAGGTGCTGTTAACTTTCACATACCTGGAAAAGAGAAAGTCAGATTAATCTTCCATTCAGCTTTACTCCTATACAAATGTTGGTAAAGGTTAAGGAGAAAGTCGCCACTTTTACCACGTTATATATTGGCGGGATCTCAAGGATGAGTTTGTTCTAAAGTAAAAATGTTTATAAGGTGGAAGAGAATTACATAATGACTAGGTAGTAGTACCCTTAGAAGTGTTCTTACGAAAGGGCAACAGTTTGTGGGGCCACGACGATTGGTGACAGAAACCAACTTAACCTAACCTAACCAAATTAATCACTAGATATGTATATTGTATAATCATTAAGCTGGTTCGTGTTGTCTGTCATCATTAGTGGCTTAGACCTTCAGCCTTCCTGAGGGAGTTTTGATGACAAGATCATAAAGTTCTGAAGGAAACTGTATATATTTCCCTTTTCTACATTGTTTGTCTTTCCTGTTAGATAAGCATCTATGTATTACAACAAACGTGTCCGATAAGATTCTGCCCCTCACCCTTCCATCAGCTGATAATGCAAACATAAGAAACGAGTGAAGATTTACAGCGACACAAAAGTTAACCCTTCAGCGAACAATGTTGCCTTTAGGTATTGTAAGGAAACATCTATAGCCCTTTGTTATGTTTTCACTGAAGGCAGGTGAACCGAAACGCCAAACAGTGACAGCAAATTTGCTTAGCTTAGCTTAGGGTTAAGTTTAGTTAGGTTAGTTAAGGTTAGGGTTAAGTTTAATTAGGTTAGGTTAGGTTAGGTTTGGTTAGGGTTAGGAATGGTTAGGTTAACGTCAAATTTGGTTAGTTTAGATTAGGTTAAATTAGTTTGGTTAGAGTCTGCTTAGGTTATGAAAGGTAATTAAACGGGTTCCCTCGTCTAAAAGTTCAAAGGTAAGAGATTCGGAAGTGAGATCTGAAGAATCAACATTAAAAGATTATTGGGGGATGAGGAAGATTCGTGGAGGGTGAGGAAGTTTCTTGGGGTGAGGAAGATTCGTGGAAGGTGAGGAAGATTCGTGGAAGGTGAGGAAGATTCTTGAGGATGAGGAAGATTCTTGGTTGTGAGGAAAATTCTTAGGGGGTGTGGAAGATTCTTAGGGGGTGAGGAAAAATCTTGGAGGCTGAGAAAGATTCTTGAGGGCGAGGAAAATTTTTAGCAAGATTTAAGATCTTGTGTAAAAAGGAAAAGACATCATTCAAGAAGATATTACTGTCGACCAAGATGGAAGGCTGGGGATGTGAAGAGAGAGAGAGAGACAGAGAGAGAGAGAGAGAGAGAGAGAGAGAGAGAGAGAGAGAGAGAGAGAGAAGCAAGTAAAGACAAGTACCATACACACACACACACACACTTTTTCAGGGACGATTTTTCCTTTAATTTTCTTACGATGAAAGGAGGAAAAACTTTATTTCATAAGTTTATTCTAGAGGAAACCATACCGGGAAAACTAGACTCTGTCCCTGGTGAATGAATTAATATAGCGAGCTGCTGGTGGTGGTGAAGCTAGTGGTTGGAAGGAGGAGGAGAGGAGGGGAAGAGAAAGAGGAAGGAGGAAGGAGAATGAGAAGAGAAGGAGACAAGGAGAAGAAGGGGGAGGAAGGAGGAAGGAGAGAAGGAGGAAGAAGGGGGAAGAAGGAGGAGGAGGAGAGAAGGAAAGGAGGAGGAGAAAATGAGGAGAAGAAGGAGGAAGCAGGAAGGAGAAGAAAGAATCAGCAATAACTGTAGTGAGGAGAATGAAATGCTGAATAATTTAAAAATCAAATAGCCCATGACGAGAATCCAGAAAGAAATGATAACAAGAGGAAATGTCGATGGAGAGAGAGAGAGAGAGAGAGAGAGAGAGAGAGAGAGAGAGAGAGAGAGAGAGAGAGAGAGGGGGGAAGCAAGACAACATAAACAGGGTTCTGGGAACATAAAATATTCAAATCCTTTTATCTTCCTCATAAAATTATCATGAGCGCATCTTCCTCTCATCACCTTCCTGACAGCCCTGACTTGTCATTTCCATTTCGTTTCTTATACTGCATTCTCGTTCTTTCAGTGTTATGACAATCTTAGCCTGGCTTCCTTACTCCTTCTTCCTCCTGCTGCTTCAATCCTTTCACACACACACACACACACACACACACACACACACACACACACACACACTTTTGACGATGTTCTCCTATTGTTGCTTGATCTTTTGTCATCATTTAATTCCGTGTTTGATTCTTCTTACCTTTAGTTTCTCTTTATCGTTTACCTTCTGTTCTCATTTCTTTTGTTGTTACAGTGTGTGTGTGTGTGTGTGTGTGTGTGTGTGTGTGTGTGTGTGGATAATTCACAAATCAAACACATTATATTCATCATAACCAAATAGACGCATTTGTATCAGTGTATTAAATCTCAATTCTTACATAAACGTTTAAATTAACACGAACAAGATAATTAACGAGGGTTTCAATATAAGTGTTAATTTACATATTATTTAATTATTGGCAGAAGGAGGGAGACGCAAAAGTGTTAATATACGGATGATACTGTGTTGTATTAGCATGAGAAGAGGATGGGTGGACGGATAGTGTTAAAAATGACGTGAATACTAAAGATGAGAGAGAGAGAGAGAGAGAGAGAGAGATAGAGAGAGAGAGAGAGAGAGAGAGAGAGAGAGAGAGAGAGAGAGAGAGAGAGACTGGAAATTTTTAATAATAGTTTTAATACTGACGTTAACATGTTGCTATATCACAGAGAAGATGAGAACAGATGAAAATATTGCGTGAAGAAAATTGGTCCTCAAAAGATATACAGTTTCTGGTCATCAACCCAGGAATCAAGGAAAGATTAAACCACCAACAAGTTTGCTCGAGAACTTTGCGTTTTAGTTGAAGATTGCCAATTTTTTTGGTGGTTTTTCGTTTTCTGTGAATATTTACATATTTTAATCCATCACTCCCTTCTTCCTTTCTTGTTGTCTCTATTTCCTTCCTTCATTCTTTCTTGTCTCATTCCTTCCCTCCTTCTTGTCTCTTGTTCCCT